GTGATCTAAGCTCTATCTGCTTTAGGGGGCACCTCAAGCCCAGTAACAGTGTGATTCTTGCAGACTTGTAGAGGTACCACCTTGACAGTCTTGGACAAGATCCAGAAGAATTCTCTGGATTACCAGGCAAAGATTCCTGTTTTCTTCCCTTACTTTCTCCCAAACAGTCTCTTCTCTCTGTTTTGAGACACGTGGAGTTCCGGGTGGAGTGACACAAGCACCCCTGTGGCCACCAAGGACTGTGCTGGGTCAGATCTGACGCCAGCACAACACTGGGTCTCACCCTTTCTGTAACCATTCCCTAGCTACCGCCTGTTTGCTTAAGGCCCTGGGGCTCTACAATCAGCAGGTAACAAAGCAAGCCAGGCCTCCGTCATTCTTATCAGGGGGACAAGTTCCCCCAGGTCCCCAGAGGTGCTATCTGGGAGTCACAGACTAGAGTCAAAAATCTCAGGAGTCTATCCTGTGTTCTGTGTTCTATTGTACTGCACCTGAGCTGGCACTCAAATCACAAGATGTAGACTTTTCCACTCTTTCCTCCCCTTTCCAAAGGCAGGAGAGCCTCATCGGATGGCTACCACCACCCCAAGCCCACAGAGAGTACTGCCACACTACTGCCAATGTTCCCAAGGGCTCTTCAGTCAACTTACAGTGAATGCTTCTAGGCCTGGGACTCACCCTTCAGGGCCATGGCCTCCATTGTGCCCCAGGGCAGGTTTAGAAATGTCATCCAAGAGCCAAGTCCTAGAATCAGGGACCCCAGGAGCCCAGTTGGTGCTGTACCCCATTGTGTCCAAGCTGGTACCTAAGGTGAAAAACAAAGTCCCCTTTACGTTTCCCTCCACTTTTCTCAAGCAGAAGAAGTCTCACCCCATAGCTACCATAGTCGGGAATGTGCTGAGTCTCATCTGAAGCCAGCAAGTCTCACAGTCTCACCCAAGGCCCTTGACATAGTACCTGGATATCATTGCTGGTTATTCAGGCCCAAGGGCTGTTCAGTTAGCCAGTGATGAATCCTGCCAAAACTGGGTTCTTCCCTTCAAGGCAACCGGTTCCCTTCTGACCCACGGGGTGCCTAGAAATGTCAATTGAGAGCTGGGATCCGGAAAGGGGGCCTCATGACTTACCATTGCCCTATCCTGATGTGGCTGAGCTGGTATTCAAGATATAAGTCAAAGTCTTCCCTACTCTTTTGTCTCCACTCCTCAAGTGGATGGAAGGAGTCTCGTTATTTTGAACCATCAGTTGTGCAGCGTGGGGTTAGAGGAGGGGTAATGCTGGCACCACTTTAGCTGCCTTGGTTGGTGACTCAGTATATTGTGTGCCCTCACACCCTAGTCTGCTGGCTCTGGGCCCAGTTCAACACTAGTACTTGCCTAGGAGTTGCAGTCCTTGTGGCCTAGACTGAATTTCAAGTTTACTGAGAACCCCAGAGCACTTCAGCCCACAGTGGTAAGTCTTGCAGAAACTCGAGTTCTGACTGTTGGGGTCAGTGACTCCCCTCTGGGTAGGGCTGGTTTAAATCTCCCTCCATGGGTGGGCATCAGGTGAATGTGTTCCAGTTTTGCTTTCTTCTATAACAAGGACAGTACTGATTTCAATGCCTCACAATTGCTGTGCTCTCCCTCTCCCCAGCACACAAAACTGCTCTCTGCACCACACTGCCACCGCTGGGGGATTGGGGACAGGGTGACATCAGTGATTCAAGACTGTTTTTCCTACCTCTTCAGTGCCTCTTTCAGCAGTATGAGGTTTCAGTAGTATGAACATGTGGCTGTTAACAATTTGCTCTGGAAGATGGAAGGAGGATAGAGCATCCCCAGGAGGAGCCCAGGCCTCAGCTGGGCCGGGAACATCGCGTGACATACTCAGAAGTTGGCCTCTGCTCCTTTGCTCTGTGTTGGTCCATAAATTCGTGGGTAACTTCAGAAGTTTGTGGCTAGTTAGTCCAAGCCCCTTTTGGTGCATCTGGGTTTACTTATCTGCATTCCTGGCATTCAGCATAGTAACCTGGGTCCTAGGTTATACAGTCTCGTCCAGGATGAAATGAACTCCCCTAGCAGCAAGAGGAGAAGGCACCAAAGCCAGGAAGATGGGGCCTGGATTCATTTTCTGGATCTGCCATCCCAAAGCTATGTGGACTTGGGCAAGCTCCCCCACCTCCCTGAGCCTAAGATGCCTTCACTGACCATGTGAGGATAAGAACTCCAACCCCCTTGGCTTCCTCTGAGGCTTGAATGAGGTCCTATGTGTAAAGTGCCTGTCATGGCCCTGGTACGTGACATGGGTTCCCTTCCCTTGCACCTTAGCAGTGGAAGTGAGCTCCACATTTTTCAAGGGTACCTACTAGGGACTGACAGAGGACTCAGCATGGTTTGGGAGATAATATTACTCTTGGTTTCCTAGCATGTATTTCTTAAGCACCAGCTCTGTGAAGAAACACACACACACCACTATGCCAGAACTACTGTGAACTCAAAAAGCATTGGGACATATTCTTCAAGTCTGAAAAAAGAGAAAGGAAAGGTAGATAAGGAAAGCAAGCAAACAAGAGATGTAGGAGAGTTTCAAGCAAGATACCAGCCATTTCAGAGAGCATGAGTGAGCTCTTCTTCAATTATCTTCCTCCTGCTCCTCCTCCTCTTCTACTAGTACTTCTATCACCATTGATAATAACAATATTTCCTGCAGGTGCAGGTCATTATTGCCAGTAAATCACCTTCTCTTGTGGGCTTCTTGCCACATGAGCAAGATGCACAAGCCACAACAAACCATCATGATGGAGGACTCAGGCTTTGGAGTAGGACACCCGGAGTTGTTATATTGTCAAACTCACTAATCTCCAGACGTTTTTGTTTTGTTTTGTTTTGGTTTTGAGATGGAGTCTGGCTCTGTTGCCCAGGCTGGAGTGCAGTGGAACAATCTCAGCTCACTGCAACACCTGCCTCCCGGGTTCAAGTGATTCTCCTGCCTCAGCCTCCCTAGTAGCTGGGATTACAGGCGCCTGCCACCACGCCCAGCTAGTTTTTCTATTTTCAGTAGAGATGGAGTTTCACCGTGTTGATCAGGCTGGTCTCAAACTCCTGACCTAGTGATCTGCTCACCACGGCCTCCCAAAGTGCAGACTTCTTCACCTTATAATTATAATCTTACCTTAGAGAACTATCATGAGGAGTAAAGGAGGAGCCATAAGTTAAGTTCTCACCTTGGTGCCTGGCACATGATGAACTCACCATATGGACATTATTGTGGACATTATAGTTCATTCTGGAATGTGGCTGCCTGGATTGGAAGCTCAGCTCTTCTACTTATGCAACGTGTGGCCTAGGGTAAGTTAGTTAACCTCTCTGTGCCTAGTTTCCTTCTTAGGGTTTAATTATCTGTACTGCTAGCAATCAACGAGGTGGCCTTTTTCATTTTATTTCATTCTAAAAACCCTAAAATAGGATCGTTGTGAGAAGTAAACGAGAGAGAGATATATATATATATATCATATACACTTATGTTATATTACAAGAAGTATATTTCTTAGACTGTCAGCTTGCCTATAGGAAGCACTATATATGTGTTTGTGGTTATTCACATTTCTTGAATAAATAATCTGGGTGAATTGTGAATTTAACACCTACTAAGTGCCAGGCAGTGAACAAACTAAACCATCCCTACACTCATGAAGCTTACATTCATATGGAGAAAGAGCTAATAAACAAAATAGGATGCTAGATAAACAGAAAAGTGGTATGAGGTGTGCTGAACGTGGAAATGGTGGGTTATCCTCCAACAGGAGACCTTTGGAGTGAAGGTCTGAAAGATGTGGAGGTGCAAGCCATACAGGTGTCTGGGGAAGCACATCCCAGGGCAGTGATAAAAGATCAAAAATGCTATAACTACCATCATCCTACCATCACCCAGCCTGCTCAGGGTGGGTGCCCATCCAAGGTCACTTTGGAAAGGTTAGGTGCTCAGCAAGCAACCCTGCTCCCTAATAGCCTATGAATCCCATTAACGCATAACGTGTGGAGGGTTTCTTTTATTTTTTAACCCTACCTCAGTTTATGACTGTGCATGTACACAAAGTGCAAAGGCTGTATGGTGAGAACATGCCTGGTGTATTTGAGAAATACAGAGCCAAACACTATGGTTGGGTCAGAGCGAGCCCGGGGAAGCAGCAGGGGCACAGTCGAGGGAAATAGCCAGGAGGGGTGTGTGTGCAGATATTAGGATTGTCAAAGCCCTCATAATGACTCCGTCTTTTAAATGATTATATAGAGGCAGGTGTGGTGGCTCACGTCTGTAATGCCAGCACTTTGGGAGGCCGAGGAGGGAGGATTGATTGAGCTAGGAGTTTGAGACTACAGTGAGCTATGATCATGCCGCTGTGCTTCAGCCTGGGTGACAGAGTGAGACCCTGTCTCCATAAATAAATAATCATATGGAGCAGGTAGTACAGAAGGGTCAGTATCCACACCACCAAAAACTAACAACCAAAGAAATGTACTGACCTGCCCTGGGAAATTCATGGCAGGAGACGCCTTAGAACCAGAAGGTGTCCCCTGAATCGGCAGTCTTTATACTGCACTGTGCTGTCTCCCACCCTGCTGAGGTCATGAGAGACCTTTTCCTCACTCGATGCTCACAGCAACGCTACAGGACTGGTGTTAATATCTTCACTTTACAATAGAGGACACTGAGTCTTAGAAACGTTAAGTGCTTTGTTCGAAGTCACATAGGATTGGAACCAGATCTGTTGGACTTCAGAGGTCTTGTTCTTTCCATTAAAGCATGTAATATGAAATCTGAAAGACAGGCATTTGTGCTCTGAATCATCTATGCGGTGTCCATCCGGATGTTGGTGCCCTTTTTGGCCCCTCTACCCAGTGGCCTCTCCACTTACTTGTGGCTGCGCTTGTTCAGCTTTGTCACCATGGCAACCATTCCTCTGTCAGAAATGCCCTGTCTTCAGTCTTGACTGACTCTCCCTGAATGAAAAAATCCTTCCATTCATATGTAAAATACAGAATTTATTCAGAAAAACCAGTCAGTACAATGTGTACTACAGGATATCACACTCGGCTCACATCACAGACATGGACTATATGACTTCACAATAAATTAGAGGGGAGGCAGCCGTTTACTCCCAGGAGGTCCTGCAGGCCCTTTCAGCAGATAGAGTTCAGTATTGATACGACAGTAGACTTTTTGACTATTTTCAAGTGGAATCAGACAGCCTGAGGCCAGCCAGTGGGACTGTCAGCTGCAAGGGGCCTTCCCCATCTCCTTCCCCTTCAAGGTGGGCCGTCTCCCACAGTAAATCGCACAGGGGATGTTCGTCACTGGATCGCTATACAGGTTCCTTGTCATCAGGCCGAGGACGTTACTTCATGATTCTTAGCAATCCAGGCTAGAAAGATGTCGAGCTCTCCTAGGGATTTCACGGCAGCAGAGCGGACCTCCAGCTGAAATCAGAGATCATTGTAAGAACCCACCTTTTTAGACCATGTAATGGTTTTCAAGTCACTTTCTTCACATGCTGGTCCCCACAAGGTTTTGTTTTTTGTCGCGAAATATATTTGCATAACATACAGACTCAGTATTATTTTCCTCTCAGGCAACCAATTTTTTTCCCCACAAACAAGCAAGTAAATCATGTCAGCTCCTTATAAACAAAACTTTCAAATTCTTCATTCTTTTCCCTCAGGTGTTTTTTTTTTTCCTCTGTTTTTCACAGGAAAAAAAATCTGCCTTACTGGCCAGTTCTGCTGATTTTCTTCTCCACATCAGCTTGCTTTAGTGCTTCTGTTATCCCAGAACATCTTCGTCCCTGTGGTGCTGGACAGCGGGTAGGGAGAGCATGTTGTCCCCATTTGACATATTAGAGCACTAAAGCCCCTAAGAGCAAGTGTCCTACCCAATGTCACACAGCCAGTTAGTAACAGAGTTGGAACTGAAACCCAAGTCTCCTGCCTTATTCCACCTCCTTCCCCAGCAGACTGAGTTCATGCTTTTAGCATGTCCTGCAGAGCCAGCCAGCGTGGGATTGAATCCTCCCTCTGCCATGCAATTGCAGTGTGAACTTAGTTTAGTTACTGCACCTGCTCGAGCCTCAGTTTCTTAATGTATCCAATGCAAATAATGCCTCATAGCATTGTTCCGAAGGACAAATGTGTAATACTTGTTGTGTGCCTAGAACAATACCTGGCTTATAGTAAGAACCATGTAATCCTTAGCTATTTCTATAACATTATCTTACAGAGGCTCTCCACAAAGAAGCAGAGCCCATAATAGGCTCCCCAACTCCTTGCTATTCAAAGCATTGGCATCATTTGACAGTATGATCTAAATGCAGAAACTCAGGCTCACCCCAGCCCTGCTGAGCCAGAATCTGCATTTTAACAAGATCTTCTGCTGATGCTCATGAAAAGCACTGCTTCTCCCTCTACATCCACGTGAGATGTGCATTTTACACCAACATTAACATGAAAAGTGCCGTGTCTTCATCACTACACACAATATGGGGGGGGGCGGCGCAGGTAGTGATCGCAGTGACAGCATGCAGGTAACACGTTTTATGCATGATAGCTCACATTTCATGGGGGATCTTTGCTCCCTCTGTGTCATCCCATCTTAAGCAGTGGGCGCTTTCCCCAAATCATACAGGTCAGGCTTGATATACGAGGGTATGAGAAAATGCTGGAGGAATGATGGAGATGGGGAGCCCAGGAGGTTAGCAAATGAGGTAAGATCAAAACTCTCTTTACAGACACAGAGAACTGAGGCCTGCCCACAATGACTGCTTATAGAGTGAATGTATGAATTTAAGTGGAGAGGAGGCTGAAGGACTGGCACCCTCCTGATCTACCTCTCATCTTCCATCTTCCCCATCCTCTTCCCAGATCTTACCTGATCATAGTTGTCGTGGATGACTCTGGTGACATTGGTAGCTTCCTGCCTGCAGTGACACTGCCTCTGTTCCTGCTGTGATAAAGTGGAGGAAGCTCCTATCAGAGGACATTTTCCACTTGGGCCCTCTCTTATTCCTACCTGCCCGCATGAGAAGTGACATTTCTCCTCCCTCCCACAGTGAGAGGCAGATGAGTAAACTCAGGTGGGAACAGCCATGGAAGAAGAGAGCTTGTTTGTAGAATCACCTGCATCTGCCCACGCCTTTTGTTTTTTCTGCATTTAGAGCCCATCGGACTGTCAGCACTAGCAAAGCAGGCACCATATCTGTCTTATCACCACTCTGAGTGCTGCCTCCCACAGGGTAGGCACTCAATGAACGTTTGTTAAATATTAATTAGATAATTAATATTTAACCAATTATTAATTAAATAACTGGTTAGATGAATTCGTTTGAGTCTATTATCATATTAATGCAAGTAGGGCAGGGACCGTCAACCCTTCTAACAATTTCAGAATCTGAGGCACAGAGAGGTGAAGTCACTTGACACAAAGTCTCACAGGAAATCATTAGCAGGAATGGGGCTAGAGCCCAGATTCTCTCCTGGTCTAAGTTTTTGTTGCTTTGTGTTGGTTTTGTTTCTGATGTTGGATTTGAATAGATTGCAATGAATTTCTAGGTGACCTTTAGGGATAGGTCATACCAAGGACCTACCCAGAAGTTTATTGATGTAAAGACACCAAAGGGCCAGAAATAAAGAAACCAGGGGTATGCTTATAGTAGAACTGGTGTCCCTGCCATGCCTCTTACTAAGGAATATGTTGACATAAGTCGGTCACCCCAGGAGGGTTATCTAGGAGGAGACCGTCTAAGGAGTTGTCAGCAGGCAGGGAGCCCTGGGGAAGCAATGGCCACTGGGAGAGGTTCTCAACAGTTCTCCATGTGGACGTGGGCAGAGAATTTCCTTTGACTCCAAGCACCATATCAGGAGGCCGATGGGGGCCAGCACATCCTGGCCTCTCCCGGGGCAGAAGGGGAGCAGATGCTGGAATCCTGACCCAGTGACTCACACATTGCCGCAGAGTTTTCTGCATGTAGAGGAAAGAGTTGGCAATGCTGCTGATTTTTCTCAAGATTTTGGGGTTTGGCTCCTGATGATCCTTGAACACCCTGTCCACATAGAACGCCAGGAGGTTCTTGGTCACGCAGCACACATCTAAGGGCTACAAACACAAATTAGAGAAACACTGGAGGCCTATTCTCTCATTATGTTAGAGACCAGGGCAGTCCATTTGAGTGGGGTCAGCAGCACATGAGAAAACTAAAAGTCATTTTGGAAAACTTCGTAATGGTCTCAGAGTGTTCATCCTCTCTTATTCCCAGCAAAACTACTTATGACAAAAATGGTGAGAAGAGATTCCAGTTCTCCCCGTTCTTTTGTATGGCCGAGAAATACATTTACCAAGGATGGGGCCCAGAATCCATCATAGACTAATTCTCTCTGCAGTATCCCTAGCGTGTCATCACTAACTTCCACTTAAATCTTTCCAGGAACCAGTTGCCTCCTTTTTAAAAGCACTGATGGCTGAGCAGCTTTTTGGAAAAGGACTTCCTTACATTACAGGGGCTGAAGTCGGCCTCTCTGTTACATCTTCTGTCTGGCAACACACAAGGGCTATTGCATGCCAGTCATCCTGCTAGGTATGCATTCCTCCAACTGTAATCACACTGCATTCACTCTGGCCACCTTACTCTGGGCCACGCTGCTTAGCTCTCCTCTAGTCTGTCCTTTTACAACCAGAAGGAGCACTGGAATGAGGCTGAGATTCGCAAGAAGGGAGACCGACAGTTGCAGAAATGGGCATATTTGGGTAGGTCTGCAGCCTGCAGAGTGCAGATGTCCCAAAAAGATAGTCTCTAAATTCCCAGGCACAGCCCAGAGAAGTTGGCTAGACAGTTTCCTTCTAGAAGTTTGCCTGCCATCTGCCCTGAGAGCCAGTTACTCTGCAGAAGATAAACTGTTCAGTCTAAGGAGGGAGTGTTTAACGGTGGGACAGCACATCTGTCTTCATTCAAGAAGCAAAGCCTCCTTGGCCCCAGTGGCAGCTTTTCCTAGATGGCAACACAAAAACCCTTCTCCTCCTTCACTTTTGCTGATTCCCTTAACCAGAAGGGCAAAATGTTACACTCCTCTGCCCTATCAAAGACTGTGGTACTGGAAAAAGGAACACTGCAGAAAAAAGGAAGGTGGGGCTGAGAAAGGAAGGGAGGGAGAGAGGAAGGGAGGGAGAGAGGAAGGGAAGGAAAGGGAAGGGAAGGAAAGGGAAGGGAAGGGAAGGGAAGGGAAGGGAAGGGAAGGGAAGGGAAGGGAAGGGAAGGGAAGGGAAGGGAAGGATAAAGACCTGAATCCTTATTGACTCCTTTTCTTATTCCACATGAGCTACTTCCCAACCTTGAGAGGAGAAAGAATCTGAAGATGGGGGCATACACTTGGGAGTCTATTCCTAGCTCTGCCACTAACTTGTCATGCTCCCTCCCAAGGTCTCACTGTCCTCATTTGAAAATGATGGTTTTGGAATAGATGATCTTTTGGGTTCCTTCCAGTTGTCATATCTTATGTGTCTATAATACAGTTGGCCAGAATTTTATTTAGTAAGTGGCTACATCTCTTCACCACAAATAAATCACTGCTTAGAAGAATTATGAAGGGGTGTGTGTGTCTCTCTCTCACGTATGCAGAGAAACCTGAGAAAAAAGTAACTCAATACAAATATACCTCACACTCTGTCATATAAAATCCCCCCTAAAACTGGTCTGTCTAGAATACTTCCCAGGACTAGAGAAGCTCACTTTTAAAGGCATCTCTCATGGGCCTTTTCGTAAAATGAATGATCACCTGATAAGCCAGCTATTTTGTAACATACTCTCGTCACCTCCTGTCTAGATGGTTGGACCGATCTTCTCACTGGCTTTCCTGCCTCACGTTGTCCATTGTAAGAACAGCACCAGATTGTCTTCCTAAAACAATTTATGATCATATAACTTTGGGCTCAAAAATTTCAGTGACTCTTTATTGCTGCTATTATTTTCTTTTATTCTTTTATACCTCCATGGAGCCTTCCAAAATTACCCCTAAGCCACAGAAATCCTAATCCCCTCTGAGCACTGGGCGCCCCCAATCACTCTCTAGGAAGTGGCACTTCTTTGGGTGCTTCAAGGGGTTCCAAGTCCTTGGGACACTAGTGTGCCCTAACACACATTCTTTTATTCTTTATGGGCATCTCAATCTGGCGCCCAGGCTGGAGTGCAGTGACACAATCATGGCTCACTGCAGCTTTCACCTCCCAGGCTCAAGCAATTCTCCCATCTCAGCCCCCCAAGTAGCTGGGACTACAGTTGCATGCCACTATGACCTGCTAATTGTTCTGTTTTGTTTTGTTTTGTTTTGTTTTGGAGACGAGGTCTTTCTATGTTGCCCAGGCTGGTTTCAAGCTCCTGGCCTCAAGCAATCCTACCCGCCTCAGCCTCCCAAAATGCTGAAATTGTAGGCATAAACCACTGCACCCAGCCTATTGCCTGTATTATAAGCCTGAGGCTCAGCCTGGCTCCAGGGACCTTTATAAAATGACTCCAAGGTATTTTTTTGCCTCATCTCCCACCACTCACTTACATGTCCTTCGGGTCACAAACCTGGTCACCTCTCTGTCCAACCTTCACTGATCTTACAGCCATTATCTTAACTTGCCCAAATACCTTCCTCCTTCTTATCCACTGATCTATAACCTCCTCAGGTTTTAAGTCACTGTTTTCTTAGCTACCTCCATGGGACCTTCCAAAATTAGCCCTAAGCCAGAGAAATCCTGTCCCCTCTGAGCACTGGGCACCCCCAATCACTCTCTAGGAAGTGGCACTTCTTTCGTTACTCCCAGGGGTTGCATGTCCCTGGGACACCAGCGTGCCCTAACACATCATCTGACAAAGAAGAAGCCTGATGCATTTAGAGTACATTGGAGATTAGGAAATAGAAGGTGACAATGTAGGGATTTCCTTCTCAGCCCAGAGCCATTTAGACATGAAGATAAAAATATTAGAAAAAGCAGACATAGGCCAATACCTTAATGATCTGCAGAGTCTCCAATGTGGACAGGATAGTGACATTTGGGAAGGTGTCCTTAGCTTGCTATGGAGGGAAACATAAGAACAGACATAAGCAATCAGTATCCTATGTTCTTCTGAGATGCAAAAGGCAATGAGAAAGAACTCATTTTCAAGCTAAGATGTAAGGGGAGGTATACCCCATCACCCACACCTTTACACCAACCCATACTCACGATGGCTCTTTTGATTTCTTGGAAACTGTCTTCTATATGGTCCATGTCTGTGGAAATCAGACATCTCCTGAGACCATGGTTGTCTACTGAGCACAACATCAGTATTGTACCCAGGAGCCAAAGGGAAACACACTGTAACTTCATGCCTGCACAAAGGAGAGGAAGTCAGCTGTCCAGCCAAGAGTGGAGGACAATGAAAGAGAAGACCCCTGATTGACGCCCCCTTCCAGCCCCAAAGGCAGGCCAGGTGGAATACAAGAAAACAAGACTAAATACTTCAGCCTTGAGGAGTTTCAGGGGTATGTGTCTCCTCTGGTTTTCTTGAGTCAACTGGATATGAGTTCTTCCCCACCCTTACACCATGCCCCCACCTCCACCCCAGAAAGTATGATACACCACTCTCTTAAGTCCCAGGAAGCATACTTGTGTGCATATCACTCTCCTATGACTCAACACAGCCTACTTTGTCAACAGGGGTGAAAAGCATTGTTTTTAATAAATTAAGTAGGAAAAGCAGGGTTGGTAAAATGCCCTAGGAATTGGGCAACAGATGTGAAAAACCATAAAAACACACTTGGTTTTTGATGTTTACCCCCAAAATAAGTAACACCCTTTTATTATAAACCTCAAGAGTGTATCTGCTTAAAATCATTTGTTTGAAGCCAGCTATGGAGATTTCATCTTCTGGAGAGGATGGGAAAGGGAGACACAAGGCATCTTCAAGAACTAATTAGCCACAACGAGGAGCTAGGGGAAGATGCCAATAGTAGAGGGCAGCTTGGCAACTTCCCGTCCGTCACCCGCTGAGCCAAAGGGTATAAGCAGCATGTTTGCAGCTAGCTGCTTCATAGCCAGGGCCAGGCCCTGAGAGGTTTGCCGCCTCTTCTCATTCTCTTACCCTTCTTGCCTCTGTCTTTCTTGCTGCCTCTTCATTTAACCACTTTCTATTGTGCCATATAATGCACACAGAGAAAAGTGCATAAAATATAATGGTACAGCTTATGGGGTTATCTCTGCTTTCACCCACATTTCCCAAGCTTATAAATAGAGCTTAGCCTTAACGCACGTCTTATGACAACACATGTGACGAGAGCAGCCCTCTGCTATGCACTTTGCATGATGCCCACTGAGATCTCCCATTTACAGCTGTGTGTGCCAAGGTAAGTGTATCATGTGTGGCCATGGAGGAGAGGAGGGCATCAGACCCAGGGAGCCAGCTGCGGGGACTGCAGAGCTATAGTTAGAGCTGCTGTAAATCATACATGTGAGTGTGAACCCCAGCTGCCCCCACTCCCTATGCCTTCCTCAGGATTCCCAGCTCCTTCTCTGGAAAGTCAGGAAACAGGAAATCCTGTTTAGAAACCATTTTTGCCTTGTCTCTCCGTAACTGGGCATCATTCCCAGGAAATAGACAGGTGTATGCTGAGACCTTACCACGTGGCAGGCATTAGGCCAAAGAGCTCCCTTCCTCTTTTATCAACCTTTCTTTCTGGCTAAACAAAGATGGGGCCCATTGCCAGGGAAGTTTGTAGAGAGTCCCCCAGAGCTCTGTCCCCTCGGAAGGCTACTGGGGTGCTTCTAGAAAGCCAAGAAAGAGAGTGCGGTTTTTCTTCTGACAAGACAACTCTCAGAAGCAGTGGGATACTGCCTGCTCATCCCATGCTAGGAGACTTGCGCATTTTGTGGAGAAGAAAGATGCCTCCCTTAGCTTGGTGAGGCAATGCCAGACATCTTGGCTATTTCAGATAGTAGTAGTAGGTAACATTTATCCTGCGTGCCATGTGCATTGGGCACTGTCCCAAGAATTTTACGTAATTTTCTCATTTAATGCTCACAACCACCCTGTGAGGTAGGCTCTTTTTCTGTTCCCATTTTACCAAGAAAATGAAGTAACTTACCCAGGCCAGGGTTTGAGGGAAGGCGGGCCAGTCCCTGAGCTGGCTCTCTTTACTGCTACTCCACCCCACTAACAACACTGTTTCCCTCTGGCATCACAGCCTGGAATCCCAGTAGCTCCCCTGACACCAGACAGACAGGAACCCATTTATGAACCGGTGGTGCTCCTTACATTTAAAAAGACATTTAACGTTGTGAAGGATTAAACAATGATAACACATTACAAAGTGCCCAACACAGTTCTTGGAACAAAAAAGCAATAGTAAAGACATTAGATTCCTTACCTTTCCTTCCTTCCCTCCTTCTTTCCCACCCTCTATCTCTTCTCATTGAAACTAAGATACTAGAAAATTCACCTCTTCTATAGAGTATCTCTTCCCGTTCTATCAAATGCCCAGCATCTGGAACATCATAGCCACACACAATGGTAACAGGTCACCTCCCTGCGGCCATGAAGGAGGAGAGCTAGCATGGCGGTGCATATGAGCTCCTGACGATGGACAGCATGAGCCTCACCTCTCACTTGGTGCTTGCGGGCTGCTCCTTGTGTCTCCTCTCAGTGCTCTCTGCCATTTGGAAAGGGCTGGTCATTTTTATTCAGGTGGATAAGAGGAAATGCTGTCAAGGTTTGCTGGGTGGATCCACCTTGGGGAGATTGTTTTTTCCCTTGTTTTCTTAGTATCGTATTTCCTTAATTGTTTTCTTTTCTTCTTTAAGATATAGCTGATTAATCATTATTATGAAATGCCTTTCTTCTGGGTCTTGACATGCAGCTTCTAGGAAAAATAAACTCCCCATTTCCATGCAAATGAGAATTTTTTGCAATTCTGTGTCCATCAGAAAAATCCAAGTTAGGTCACTTTCCTGAGAGCTGTGGCACGTTACCAACTGTACCCTGCAGGCCAACTCATGAAAGCACTCTCAGTCAGCCACACCCTGCAGCAGCGAACCTGTGAGGCTCGGCAGGTGCCTCTGGCTCCAGCATGATCCAGCTCTCCAATGCCTCCGGCAGCTATGAGTGTCTGCCATGTGCCAGGTGCTAGCTAACTGCTTTACCTGCATTATTTTGTTGAACTTCAGGAGGAACAGTTTTTCCCCTCATAAAGCAAGGATTTCTTTGCACATCATCTCTTTCACCTTCGTCTTGTCCCCTGGAGAGTTCTCTCATTCTTGATTAATGCAGAGAGAGAGAAAATGAGACTGGAAAGAAGAGAGGTTTAAGAGAAGCCAGTGGCAGAGCCAGGACCTGAAATCCTTATTCTTGGGCTAGAAGACTCTCTATCTAAATTACCTTTTTACATAAACTCTTTACCATGAAGTTCTCTAGGGATCAGGGTTTGGGGCAATGAAAAGACAGGGTGTAAACAGTTTATTCCCATTAAATAAAATTTCCAGGAGGTGATTGGTTTGGACTGAGTTACTGCACAAGGCCAATAGGCCAAACCGAAATGGAATCACTCATGCTGAATGAAGTTCCACACCACCAAGCTGAAAGTAAATTGTTTATCTAACCTTCTGAGAAATCAGAAGAGAGAAAGATAATAGCCAAATCCTCAAGCGAGCCAGTTTTAACCAGCATATAAGGAAGTCTCCTCTGCTCTAACCTTTACAAGGAAAGTAGCTTTAAATGACCAATCTGCTTTTTGTTCTCTGTTTCTGCTTCCTGCATCCCTTGTCTGCCTATAAAACCACTCTCCTCTGTCAGCTCATGGGGCCACTACTCATTCTATTTCTATAAAATGGGACGTTGCCTGATTCTAGGATTGCAAATAAAAGCCAATTAAGATCTTTAAATTAAATGTGTTGTAATTTTGTCTTTTGACATCCCCAAACACAGACTCTCAGAATAAATGGAGCTTGTTTTTAACCAAATGAAGTGACCTTGGGATGAAATGTGATTGTGAGACCCCATTGGGGTGGTACAAACCCTGCCCCTGCAGCCAGATTCAGGAGACAGAGAGGGCGACAGGGCACCGGAAAGAAGGAAAAGGGACAGGAAGGATTGGGGTCTTTTATGGGACAGGTGCAAGGGAAAGAAGCCCCAGGGACTTGATGTCTTGTGGTCCAGCATCTTGGACATAATAAAATGATAAGTGTTGAAGGAAGTGGTAGACTGTAGCGGTTCACAATGTAGTTCTGAATTTAAACCCTGGCTCTCTCTCTTCTCTTCTCCCTTGTCTCCCTTCTCTTCGTGGTAGCATGCCACAGCTCTCAAGAAAGTGACTTAACATGGATTTTTCTGTATGAACAAAGAATTGCAAAAAAATTCTCATTTGCATGGAGATGGGGAGTTTATCATTTTTCCTAGAAGCTACATGTCAAGACCCAGAAGAAAGAGGCATTTCATAATAATGATTAATCAGCTATATCTTAAAGAAGAAAGAAAATGATTAAGGAAATAAGATGAGGGTATGGCCAGGTAGGTACCCTCTCTGCCTGGCTCAGAGAGGGCACCATGCCTGTTGCCTTCTGTGGGAATGAGGCTTCATGGAGTTGAGCAATATGTGGCCCTATTGCAGAGTCTGGATAAAATGCATTAGGTCTATAGACACTGGACAAGCTACTTAAAGCCTTTCTGAAGCTCCATAAAATAGGTAAAATAAACTGTGAGGATTTCAATGAGCTAATGGACCTGTATCATAGTAAGTACTCCTTAATAAATGTTATGTTGTTCTAAGCTGTGTGCCAGGCACCTGGAAAACGAGAAGACATCTTTGCTAGGAGCTAATGGACATCTTTCTGCTCCTTTGGAGAGGGGCAAAGAGCCACTCTTGACATCGGGAATCTCCCCTATCCCCACCCTTGTTTCCCCCAGAGGGGTCAGATGGAGGGAGGTCGGTGCTGTTTTCCCAGCAGGGCCTGAGCTGCCTGGCTCAGAGTCCCTCTGCACATGTGAAAAGAGCAGTTCAGAGCCCAGCCACACATGTGAGAGGATTTGCAACACTGTCCTTGCTGAGTCTCACCCCACATTCACTGCTTGTGCTCAGACTATATGTTCTGACCCAGCTTTCATTTCAGGGCAAATATGTCATACCAGGAAGCTTGCAGGGGAAGGGAATAAGTGATGTGTTTATAACTCCGCTTCCAGCATGCAGTGTACCATAATCGCCGGTACTGGAAGCTGGGTTGACTGGCTCTACTTTCTATGGCTGTCAGACTGAAGGCAAGCCACTTAATCTCAGTGCCTGTTTACTCATCTGTCAAATGGTACACATCATGTCTACTGCACATTCACCATGTAGGCACAGCA